AGATGGAAAATCAACATTTACTATCGTGTTCATGCAGAGACAATCACTGAGTAATTATACAAGTGTCACTTGGAGGGGATTCTAAGCACAATCACTTCAATAATTACAACAGTCATTTCAGAACGTTCCTGATGGTACCTCTGGTTTTCCTCAGCGTGTCACTTCCTCACCTTGGCTCCTTGCCTCAATCCCCCTTCCCCAGTTTTTCACCCATATCCCCACCCTCTCTCCCCAGTTACTCCTCCTCTTCCCAGTTAATCCCACTTTCTCTGGTTATTCCCTCTTCAGCCAGTTTCTCTCCTGCACGCCACCCCTCCCTGGGACTCCTTGGCTTTGCCAGCTTTTGCTTACAGATGTCCTGAGGCTGTGTTGCATAATTGGTGTTTGCAGCCAATGACAAAGCGGCTAAACAAAAACAGTCCCAAAGAAAATCAAATGCTACTTGTAGAATTTACATGATCAGGTGTCGTAGGGTCATAATAGTATGTAATCAAAGCTCCAGGAATGCTTTGTATTCATGAATTTGATGCCCTTTTCTTAACCAGATTACAATCTATATTTCTTCACACCAAAACACTTCATGCAGGATACCAAGGGCTTGGAGCAGATAGAAAGGAGAATGATGAGGATGGTATCAGTGGATGAGTTAGGATTGTTTGGCTTTGAATGCAGAAGATTAAGGGAAGATTTCATCAAGGTGTTTAAATTGCTAGGAGTTTTGACAGGGTAGATAATCGGGAAACTACTGACCCTATTACAAGGGTTGGTAAAAAGAGAAATTAACACAATGTTCTTTATGACTGCCGGACATCTCAATTACTTTATAGTAAATTAAGTACTTTTGATGAGTCATCAGTGCTGTAGAAATGCAGCAGTTAACAGACAGGATAACCTGTTTTTCATGACGTTGTCTGAGAGCTAAATATTGAGAGCCAAGGCATCTTCAATACCTCTTATAGAGTCATAGAGACTTACAGCACAGAAACAGACCCTACAGTCCAATTCATCCATGCTGACTAGGTATCGTAAATTAACCTAATCCTATTTGCCAGCCTTCGGCCCATATCCCTCTAAGGTCTTCCTATTTATTTATCCATCTGGATGTCTTTTAAATGTTGTAACTGTACCAGCCCCCATCACTTCCTCTGACAGCTCATTCCATACACGCACCATCCTCTGTGTGAAAAAGTTGCCCCTTAGATCCTTTTTAAATCTTTCCCCTCTCACCTTAAATCTATGCTGTTTAATTTTGGACTCCCCTACCTTACTCTCCCCTCCAGCCCCACCAAACCCGGCACTTTTCCCTGCAACCGCAGGAAGTGCTACACCTGCCCCCACACCTCCCCCCTCACCCCCATCCCAGGCCCCAAGAAGACTTTCCACATCAAGGAGATGTTCACCTGCACATCTGCTAATGTGGTATACTGTATCCGCTGTTCCCATTGTGGCCTCCTCTACATCGGGGAAACAAAGCGGAGGCTTGGTGACCGCTTTGCGGAACACCTACGCTCGGTTCGCACTAAACAACTCCACCTCCCAGTCGCAAACTATTTCAACTCCCCCTCCCATTCTTCAGACGACATGTCCATCCTGGGCCTCCTGCAGTGCCACAACGGTGCCACCCGAAGGTTGCAGGAACAGCATCTCATATTTCACTTGGGAACCCTGCAGCCCAATGGTATCAATGTGGATTTCACAAGCTTCAAAATCTCCCCTCCCCCAACCGCATCCCAAAACCAGCCCAGCTTGTCCCCGCCTCCCTAACCTGTCCTTCCTCCCACCTATCCCCTCCTCCCACCTCAAGCCCCACCCCCATCTCCTAGCTACTAATCTCATCGCACCCCCTTGACCTGTCCGTCCTCCCTGGACTGACCTATCCCCTCCCTAACTCCCCACCTACACTCACCGTTACTGGCTCCATCCCCGCCTCTTTGACCTGTCTGTCTCGTCTCCACCTATCTTCTCCTCTATCCATCTTCTATCCGCCTCCCCGTCTCTCCCTATTTATTTCAGAACACCCTTCCCCTCCCCCATTTCTGAAGAAGGGTCTAGGCCCGAGCCTGCTCCTCTGATGCTGCTTGGCCTGCTGTGTTCATCCAGCTCTACACCTTGTTGTCTAAGAAAATGACCTTGGCTATTCACACTATCCATGCCCCTCATGATTTTATAAACATCTATAAGGTCACCCGTCAGCCTCCGACACGCCAGAGAAAATAGCCCCACCCTATTCAGCCTCTCCCTATAGCTCAAACCCTCCAACCCTGGCAACATCCTTCTTTTCTGAACCCTTTCAGGTTTCACAACATCCTTCCTATAGCAGGGAGACCAGAACTGGATGCAGTATTCCAAAAATGGCCTGACCAATGTGCTGTGACCTCTTCTCCAAAATAGAACCCATGGGATCTTTTACCTCCACTTGAGCATTCAGATTGGGCCTCAGTTTTACCATCTCATCTGAAAGATGTCCCCTCCAGCAATGCTGTGCTCCTTCAGTACTGCACTGGAAAGTCAGACTTGATCATCGTAACTCGAGGACAGATGTTGAAATTTGGCCCTGACAAGGAACAATCCATTACAATGCAACAGCAGATAATCTGGTGGTAGAGAAGAGAAGGAAGTTTATTCACTAGTGAACTGTATTGACAGGAAATGTACTGCTTGTATACCTATAATGTGAAGTGTATGCCACAGGCTGCAATAGGAATCTCAACAAATATGTTTCTGGTAATTCTCTCACATAAATCACAAAAATATTACACTGAGCCAAAGAAAGAAACCAAAAAGGTGTCGAAGGTAAAGATGTAGCTTTAGAGAGATTTTGGAAGATAATTCCAGAGCTGAGAGACCAGGCAAAAGAAGGCATACCTACCAACAGTGCAGTTATTAAAACTGCGAGGCTCAAGAGGCCAGAATTGTTGAAGCTCGGAGATCTCTGAGGTTTGGGGAGCTAGAGGGCATTACGGAGGCAAGGAGCATTCAAGAAGGGGTTTTGAAAAGCACAGAACGAGGTGTTGTTGTGACAAAGAGCTGGTGTACATTGGTGGTGCACACGACGTGATGGTTAAATTGACTTGGTGTGAGTCAATAAAGAGGCTGCAGGATTTTGGAAAATCTACAGATTGATTGATTGAGTTTCCCTCAACAGCCCTGATTTTAACCTGTAAAAGAAGTGCTCGGATCTCTGCCAAGAAATTGCTTAACAGATTTGTGATGAAGTTTGTGTGCTCAGTCTTGAGCCACTCTCATTCCCGACCTCAACAAAATATACAGGAATCATAATTCCAAACTCAGGAATTTCCTCCTTTCACCTCTTGACCTAAGAGGTTCCATAAAACCTACCTCTTCCGTCAGGTTTTAGGTCACCTGCCACAATATAAGGCTCAGTGTCATGTTTTACTTTTGAGAATCACACTGATGAAAAAGCTGTAAATATTGGCTGGGACACATTCCCCTTCTTTGAACACTGTCATGGAATCTTTTATTTCCACTGGAGGGGGTAGATAGGGCCTCAACTTAACATCGCGTATAAAAAATGGTATCTCCAACAGTGCAGCATTTCCTCAGAAGTGCACTGGGAATATCAATTGAGACCAGGTGCCCAAAACGCTGAACTGGTCAAAAAACCCGTACCAATAGCCCAGCCCAGTTCGAAGGAAGTACTGCATTGTTCACGCTGCAGTGGATTGTATGAGACACTTTGCCCTTTTGGTTCTGATGCATGCTGTCACTTCATAGCGTAGAACTACTTTACAACAAAAAAATTAATTGCAAAATTCAGAAAAGCAATGTCAGTCTTTGCTTTTGTTTCACAGATTATAAATCTCGATCTGAGATGAGTAATGAACGCCACTTCTTGGAATTTAACAATGATGTTCCAACCGTTAAAGGTAAATTAATTCTTATCTCTCATCAGTAACGTAGTAAAGTGTATAATTCTGGTTATCTGTGGTGAATGTCCATTGTGGAGCAAACGAGATTGAGATAGTTTGAAATCGTAGGAGTAATTCCACTGGAAATCACGAGTATAATTTTTGTTAGACCCTGCGGCATGTTTGGAATTCTCGCCCCAATAGTAAACACGAATGGCTCATAGCTTCATGCGGATTTTGAATATTTTTGTTTCCTTCTTTCGTTCGCGCCTCGATCAGAGTACACCCTCGACACCGCTATTGCAGATCTCTTCTACTTTTCGGCTTCTCCCTGTCGTTTCACAACACTCATGAAAGCCCACTTTTTCCAACAAGTATTTGGTGATCCTATCCGATCTCTCCCTCCATGGCTCCCTGTCTGTCCCATTATTTCAGAAACCCTCTGATGATATCCGGCAAGGTGGCGGTTATAGCGATATGGGGTAGTGTCTTGCCTCTGAACCGGGAGGCCTAGGTTAGAGTTCCACCTGCTCCTGGGGCATGCGGGCATGTCTCAGAGGGTTGATTTAAGGAGGAAATTTTGAGGAGGAAACGGAAAATTTACAAAACCGCTCTTTTCCCAGTTGCTTGCAATTTATTTTGTGAAAGGATGATCGCGTTGTTCAATGAAGGTAACCTTTCAGGGTGCAGCCAGTTTCCTCCGGACAGAAAATGGAAGTTGTTCGGATTTCATTCATAATTTTCCAAAGATGATGTACATTGTGGTTGACCATCTTTCTCAAGATTTGCAGTATATTTCTGCAGAGAACCTGACAACTATGAATCAGGTTGATTTCAGAAAGAATTTTATTCAAAGTTCAGACAGAAAAATCGGAACTGAAAAAGCGGTGATGCAATCACTTTGTCCGAGAAAGCCAAGCATTCCGGTGTTCTATATATATAGGCCAGTCACTTTTAAAGAGGTTTACTGAGAGAAGTGTGTCTGTCAGGAAAGCTGTGAACTTAGCTGAGAAACTAATAATGACTTCAGACGGTGAGTTGGGCAATATGCTGTTTTAAACTGGATTAATTACTACTGCAGGAATGTTCATACAATAATGTGTGGGGAATATAAAAACGAGGTTTGTGAGAATGCTGTTCAACCAGTATTTATGTGGGAAAGAACGTGCTAAGTTGAATGTATCAAGTAAATTCTCTCCCATCCGATCTCCCGGTAAGTAATGTCTCTCACCGATTAGCTGCTTTCCATATTCTGCCACTTGATTAAGGATAAGTTTAGAGATTGATCTGCGTGTCAGACCAGTTTCCAAGTTCTCAGATACGGTAAATGTGTTAACGCGCGACTGCAGTAATAACTTTCTCACCGGGAAGAATTCACTTGTTCTTGCCCAATCGGTTCACAATAACAAACCCGCGCGAACAGTGAGCCCAGGGCGTTCGCTTCACATCAGCAAAAGGTGATGCGTATCGATTCACACGAATGCCGCAGATTCCTCCTTATTCATGTGTGTCCAAGATGCAAGTGATTTGCCCGGAGAAAGCATTTTCATAGAGTCCCTACAGTGTGAGAACAGGCCTTTCGGGCCAGCAAGTCCGCTCTGAACCTCCGAAGGGCATCACACCCAAAGCCGCCCTCCACGTTTTTGTATTGTGGGAAGAAACCGGGGCATCCAAAGGGAATCTACGCAGGCACGGGGAGAAGGTGCAAACTCCCCGTATAACACGCCCGAGGGTAGAATCGAACCTGCGTTCCCGGCGCTGTGAAGCAACAGCGCTCGCCGCTCATCCGTGGGTAGCACGGTAACTGAGTGGCTAGTGCTGCTATCTCACAGCGTCGTGAACCCGAGTCCGATTTATCACAATGAAAACTTTTTTTCGATCAACTCCCTCAAATCTCTTTGCGAATTCAAACAGGTTTTTTTTTGCAAGGAGAAAATAAGCCCAAAGAAAGTATTTACAGCATAGGATCAGGCATTGGGCCCAAAGCATCTTTTTTATAGCTCCACTTGACCCTCCTCCCATTTCACTCCATCTAATATCCTTTTTATTTCTGTGCGCTGTTGGTGTAGATTCCACTTATTTGGATCTTTGCTTTTTCCTTAAACTTACCTTCAAACAGAAATTCCAGTCTCTCATTATGTTTTTGATGCTGCCCTTTATATGTATCTTAGTAGCAATTATAGCCTCGCTGTGACCACGTGACAAGTGACAAAAATATGTGAACCGTGTCCTCTGTGGAGGACCAACGAAAGAATGTATGTCTCATTTCCAAGGGCCAGATGGCCTACTCCTGCTCCTATTTCTTATGTCCTTAAACTAAGTCACTAACTGTGATTTTCATTGGCTTCCTCTCGTTACATGATCACGTGGCTGCTGCGTTCTCCTCCCGCCCAGGATCCAGGAATGTGAATGGTAAGATTCTGAGCAATCACATTTATGGTCAGCTGTTTCTGACCCTGATTCATGTTGCACTTCACACTTGTCTGTGTTTCTTCTCCTTACATTAGGCATCCAATGTGATTACTTTAAGAAGTACGATAGGATAAACAGTGTGAAAATGATCAAGAATATTTACGGCGAGGTACTCATAGCCCACAGTGATGGAGTTGCTGAGCCAGTGCCAATCTTTGAGCATCGCCCCTTTGCTGAAGAAACAGGTTTATTTATTGTCTTCACATTTTTTTCAAATGAATAGGGAGTTGCATCATGGAGTCATATAGCATAGAAAGAACGCATTTTGACTACTGGTCTAAGTCAACTTGAATGAGTAATTAATCCCATTGCCCAGCTCTCACTATAGAGCCCTGTATACAATTTCCAAGTATTTATCCAATTTCCCTTCCAAGATTATTATTGAATCTGCTTTCACTGCCCTTTTCGGCAGCACACTTGTGTTCTAAACAACTACTGTCACATCCCTTTTTTATCCGGTCTTTGTGAAAAGCAATGTAATTGATTGTGTACAGAAACAGTCATACAGCACAGAAACAGACCCTTCAGTCCAACCAGTCAGTGCTTAACATAATCCCAAACTAAACCAGTCCCACCTGCCTGCTTCTAGCCCATATCCCTCCAAACCTTTCCTATTCATATTATCCATCCAAATGTCTTTTAAACATTGTTGTACTCGCATTCACCGCTTCATCAAGGAGTTCATTCCACACGTGAACATGAGTGTCACTGGCTGGGCCAGCATTTATTGCCTGTCCCAAGTTGCCCTTGAGAAGGTGGTGGTGAGCTGCCTTCTAGAACCACTGCTGTCCTTGTGCTGTAGGCTGACCTCCAAGGTTGTTAGGGAGGGAATTCAGGATTTTGACCCAACAGCACAAAAGGAATACGATATTTCCAAGTCAGGATGGTGAATGGCTTGGAGGGGAACTTGCAAGGGGTGGTGTTCCCATGCATCTGCTGCCTTTGTCCTTCTAGATGGAAGTGATCATCGGTTTGGTAGATACTACCTAAGGATCATTGGTGAATTTCTGTAGTGCATCTTGGAGATGGTACACACTGCTGCTGCTACTGAGCATTTGCAGTGAAGGGAGTGGATGTTTGTGGATGTGGTTCCAGTCAAGCAGGCTCCTTTGCCTTGGATGACGACCAGCCTTTTGATTGTTTGTGCTGCAGTCATTTAGGCAAACAGGGAGTATTCCACCACACTCTTCTCTTGTGACTTGTAGATGGTGGACAGACTTTGGGGAGTCAAAAAGTGATTTACTCCTTTGACCTGCTCTAGCTTGTTCAGTTCTGATCAATGGTAACCCCCAGGAAGTTGATAGTGGTGGATTCAGTGATGGCAATGCCATTGAATGTCAAGGAGCAATGGTTAGATTGTCTCTTATTAGAGATGGAAATTGCCTGGCATTTAATGCAAATTTACTTGCCACTTTTCAGCCCAAGCCTGGATATTATCCAGGTCTTGCTGCACTGGGACATGAACTGCTTCAGTATCTGAGAGTCACAAATGGTGCTGAACATTACACAATCATCAGCAAACATCCCCACCTCTGACCTTTTGATGGAGGGCTGGTCATTGATGAAGCAGCTGACGATGGTTGAGATGTCCTCAAGCTGAAATGACTGATTTCCAACAACCACAACCACCTTCCTACTAACTTTCTGTGATTCATGTAGTAGGGCACACACATCCCTCTGCACCTCCAAGTTATGTGATCTCTCTTCATTTAAAACTGTATTACTTTTTATATTCTTCCTGGCAAAGTGGACAAATTCACTTTTTCCGCATTGTACTTGCCAAAGTTTTGTCTGCTCACTTAACCAATCTATATCCCTTGTAGACTCTTTAATGTCCTCTTCACAACTTACTTTCCTACCTATCGATGTGTCACCAGGAAATTTAGCAACCAGAATGCCAGGGGTCAAGTCCCATCTGTTTCAGACATGTCATAACACATCTGAACAGGTTAATTAATGATATCTGTTCCTCTTGAGGCTTTTGAGGTGCAATGATAGTGACCCTACCTCTGAGCCAGGAGGCCTTGGTTCAAGCCCCACCTGCTCCAGAGGTGTGTAATAACCTCTCTGAACTGGCTGATTAGAAGATGTCTACAATCAGTGCCCAAAGCATAGTCATTTTTATAAACTTTAAATATTTGAGATGCCAGTACTGATGCCTACGGCACACCAGTCATTACATCTTGCCAACCTGAAACTGTCACAATTATATCTATTTCTCTGTTCCCTGTTGGCTAACCAATCCTCTATCCAATCTGTTAGCCCCGATGCCAGGAGCACTTATTTTGTGTAGTAACCTTTGATAAAGCTTCTTGCCAACATCTTCTGGAAATCTAAATACGGCACAACTACAATATTCTCTTTATCCAATACAAACTGAAAGAACTGTGGATGCTGGAGATCAGAAATGAAAACAAAAATTGCTGGAAAAGGTCAGTAGGTCTGGCAGCATCTGTGGATAGAAATCAGAGATAATATTTTGGGTCAAATGATCCTTCGTCAGAACTTCTAATTCAGAATTATTTCTGGTATATTACTTCTATCCTCTATACTGAAAACATACACCAAATATCTATTCAATCCATTGACCACTTCCTTATTTGCCGTGACTAATTCTCCAGACTCTCACTCTATTCAGGACCCACAGTCACTCTACTTACTTTTGTCCTTTTTTTAAAATATCCGTAGGTTATTATCAGTTTTATGTTCCTAGCTAGCTTTGTCTTGTACTCTAATTTCTCTCTCCTTACTAAACTATTATAGTTTTATTCCTATTTTAGTAATATTATTGGTGTCTTCTGACTTGGCAGGCATCACTGTGGAATTATATCCTTAATCTTTCAATTACACAGTTTTTAACTTTTTTTTTTAGCCATAGATAGACAAGAAGGATGCACTTCCTTTCTCATTGGAGAGTATCTTTTCTGTGTATTCTGAAATATCTCCTTAAATGTCTGCCGCTGCACCTTAACTGACCTATCCTAATTTCCCAGTTCACTTAAGCCCAACAGATCTACTCTGGTGTTCATGCTCCTCCATCCTGCTTCATTGCATTCTACCAGAAAATTATTCTATTCTTTCCTCACTCATACACTCACGTACTTTATCCTTTAAACAAATTTGTACCTTTCCTCTCAGCTATTGCATGTTGTATATTAGCAGGTTCCTCATTATGAGTTCTTTTTGGATAAAGACAATTTTCCTGCTACTTTGTTAGTTACTATGTTATATTTACGCATCCCCCTGCCCCCCAAAATTTGCATTCCCCATGCTCCCATCCCCAACCCTACAATCACCCAAGACAAAAACAGAAATTGCCGGAAAAGCTCAACAGGTCTGGCAGCATCTGTGCAGAGAAATCAGAGTTAATGTTTCAGGTCAAGTGACCTTTCCTCAGAACACTGATTTCTCTCCACAGTCCTGCCAGACCTACTGAGCTTTTCCAGCAATTTCTATTTTTGTTTCTGATTTACAGCATCCACAGTTCTTTCGGTTTTTATCACTACATTCATCCAAACTTCCTTTTAACACTGCCGCTGTGGCTAAAAATCCAGTCAGCTCTCTGGAGTATAAATAGAGTCTCCATGAGAGTAAAACATATCGGGATTTGTTAATTTTGATCAACCTGTAATTTAGAAAAAGGCTAGTCACAGGTCATTGGGTACTTCTGCATTTTCAGAGATTCATGTTTGACCATTCAGCAATAAGTCTGAGTGCTGGTTCTGTTAAACATTAAATTTCTGCTTGATGATGCAAGTTACTGGAAGACAGACAGGCGTAGGACACTGTTGGAAAAAGTACTTCCCTCTTTGCTAGAGGAAGGTGTGAGGAATAAACAGAATGGTGAGGATAGGTTTTGATTACTCAAACAGATTCAGACCAGAAACTGAACAATCTCCTCACATCACAGTGCTAGGCTTGATCCACATTCTGATCAGGGCAGTAAATCTGCCACCACTTTAAAATCATTCACCTTGTGTGAATTACTTTGAGATGTAAAATTAATTAAAAGGCATTTGCCATACTTTAACAATGCATTACCTGAATTTCCTACCATCAACATCCTGGAAGTTTCCATTGATCAGGAACAGAACCAAAATAGCCAAATAAATATATTCTCTCCAACAGCTGGTCAGATTCTAGGAATCCTGTAGCGAATAACTCCCCTCCTGGCTCCACGCAGCCTTTCCATCATCTACAAGACACACATCAGACATCTGATGGAATATTCTACACTTGCTTGAATGATGCAGCTCCAATGATGGTCAAGACACTCAACACCATCTCAGCAAAGCAGCCACTTGATTTGCACCACATCCACCTTCAATATTCACAGTAGCAGCAATGTGCACCATATGCAAGATACACTGCAGAAATTCACCAAGACTTCAACAGCATCTCCCAATCACTCAAACCTTTATCATCTGGAAGGACAAGGGCAACAGATACATGGAAATGCAACCACATGCAAGTGCCCCTCCAAGTCACTCACCATCCTGACTTGGAAATATATAATCATTCCTCCAGGGTTGCAGGGGCAAAATCCTGGAATTCCCTCCCTAGTAGCACTAAACACAAGGACTGAAGTGGTCATCACCACCATCTCAAAGACAATCAGGGATGGACTATAAATGCTAGCCTAGCCTGCTATGCCCACATCCCATGAACAAATAAATGAAAATCTCTAACGAAAGGTTAAGATCTTGTGCCTGAATGTAGGAATGAGCTAGTGCTCAGAGCTTGTCTGAAGACAATATTTTCTCTAAAACTGCTGTATCATCTTCCATCTATTATCACAACCTTGGACCCTTCATATCTTGCAACCTTCTCCAAACATAAACCCCACTTAGAATGCTGTGTACTCCAGCTCTGGCCTCTTCCATTTCCCCAACTTCCTCTCCTCAGCAATAATAACCACACCTTCATATCTAAGGTACATATTATGATCCCTGCTGATAGCAATACTGGACAGTTTCAATTCCAGTGTGAAACCTGGCTTGATAAATCGTAAGTTCTGTTTTTGCAATTTTGCTTGCTCTTGTGGTCAGACAGTGAACTGAGGCTGCCAGTGTACTTTGAACATAATTTAGTAAAAGTCTGTTGCACAAAAGGAAAAAAAAACTTTTACATTATTTGAGTGTCATATGGGCACCCACACTTTGGGTGGCACAGTGGTTAGCAGTGCTGCTTAACAGCACTAGGGACCCAGGTTCAATTCCAGTCTCAGGTATGGAATTTGCCCATGTCTGCCTGGGTCCCCTCTGGGTGTTTTGGTTTCCTCCCACAGTCCAAAGATATGTTGGTTAAGTGGATTGGCCATGCTAAATTGGAATTAGGTTTTATTGTCATGTGTACTCAAGGACAGGGATATATGAGTACAGTGAAAAGAATACAAAGTCGCTGTTCCTGGTGGCATCTTGGGTACAACGGTACCCAGGTACAAAATCTTAGAAACAAAGTAGGACATAAAGAAATAAGTTAAAAGTCCAACATTACTTTCCTTCTTTAGCCATGGGCCTGCAGATGCACAACATTGGGCTTTTGACACAAGGGTTTGATCTCTTCCCTGTGCTTTCCCTGTGGTGCCCAGGGATGTGCAGGCTAGGTGGATTAGCCATGGTAAATGTCAGGTTAAAGGAATAGTGTGGGGGTGTGGGTCTAGATGGGATGCTCTTTGGCGGGTCAGTGCAGACTCCATGGGCCAAATGGCCTCTTTCTGCACTGTAGGGATTCTATGATTATATAAGAATTATTTTAAATGGTCTTATTACAGTATCAAAAAGAAAGATTCAATCCTTTTACCCTCACAACAATCTTTCAGATACACAAAGTTCAGGGTAGGGTCATCCTTTTTCCAATTCAAACCCCCTTGTTCAGTGGGCCCACAAAATTTTTGCTTTCACTCAATGCTGTTCCTTGCATTAATGTCTCTTCCTGAGACTCTGAAACAATTTGCTAAAACAGCTCACTTATTTCTTAACATGGATTCTGTAAAGTCATTTTCCATGTCCTTCTGTTTCTGAAGCCATCCCTTACTGGCATAAGCCACTCAGAACTTCTTTTCTGCCCACACTGCTTTGGAGATAGCTACACCAACAGCACCTTTTCTGCCATATGCTGTTTTTCTCCAACAGAAACCTACACACTGTCTATAAGAAACCTGAATGCTCACTGAACCTTCTGGATGGTTCTATCTTTCTAAATGAACTGGTTTATATCTCTGTCTATCTGTGACATAAGACAATTTGTTGTCAGAGCACAGTCTGATTTTCCCCATACTTTTTGTTTTCTAAAACAGCAAATGTTTTGTTCCAAGCATTTTTTAAAAGCCTAATTTAAATGGACATAAACACATTTCCAATGCTCTAGCACCACTCACAGAAATTAAAAATGAAAATAAAACTGTGTCCTTCTTAATTATGAACTGATTGTGAGCGAGGCAGGTAGAGGCATCCAGGAGGTAGCGCTGAATGAGTCTCAGAACTTGAGCTTGTCTAACAGGTTTGAGATTATTGCTCCTTTTGTGGATGGGAGTGGAGGCTGTGGGGAGGATGAGCAAACTGACCATAGTACTGTGGTACAGGGAGCCATTCAAAATGGTGAAGAAAAGAGAAATGTAGTTATAATCAGGGCTAGACATTGTTCTGTGTGGCCAGGATTGAGAGCCCTGAAGGCTGTGTTGCCTGCCTGATGCCTAAATTTGAGATAGCTCATTTGGGCTGCAGAGGAACTTGGAGTGAGAGGGGAAAGATCCAAGTGTCATGGTCCACATCGGTATCAATGATTGATTGATTTATCGTTATCATATGTACAATATGCAGTGAAAAGTGTTGTTTTGCGTGCTGTACATGCAGACTGTACCATATAAAGTGCATCACAGTAGTGAAACAGAGTGCAGGATACAATGTTACAGGTGCAGAGAGAGAGA